GCTTAAAGGAAATCTCGATTTCTCTAGGAGACCCTGGGAAATAATTACTTAATTAATTATCACTGAACCTTATTTGTTGAGAGCTATTTCTTAGACGAATCAGGGGGAAATAACAATTTCCAGACGTTTTTATTTAATCTTTTTTTTTTAATAGCCACTAATTATGCCTCCTTTCCCAACCCCAAGAAAATTATAGCCTAGCCCTCCTTTTAAGAGATGGTGTCATTTTCTCTGTATTAAGTGTATCCTACAGGGAAACCTAACAAATTAGGATTAGTCAGGTAAACATAATGGAAACATCTTAAAATCTATGCATGTGCATAGCAGGTAATGCCCTCTGTATTTGGAAATCCTGTTGGTTTTTACTGCAGATGACTGGTTTCCACACACTTAGCAATTGAAAGCAACGCGCATTTTGTGTGTCCCATTTCCATGGTCAGTGGTGTGAGTACATTTAATCTAACCAAGTGCTTGGGTCTCTCCCAATGTTGACGTCATGGTCTTGTTCCATCTGTACCCCTTCCTGGAGCATAGAGTCCTCCTTCAGATCCTCACAGTCATTGGCAGAATTCAGCATTTTTGGCTTTAGGACCAAGGTCTTGGCTTTCTTAAAGTTTCATTACTCTAGATAGTACATTAAAGATTTGGTTCATTAACAGAAATCCCTACTAGTTATTATCTGTACAGTAATCATATAACCCAGTATGTAGATAATTAGTAAAAGAAGCTTTAATGAGGAGTTTATTTTGAAGTAATGCTCAGAAGCCAAACTATTAGAAAAGCGAAAACCAAGATGGATGTTCCGTAGCTTTTAACATAGAGGATTTTACTCACATTTTGAAATTTCATCTGGTCAATTAAGTATACAAAACAAATTAACCAAAACATACATTATGCATGTAGAAAAATATTAAAATATATAATAAGGAAATGGGCTCAATGCAAGTCTTTAAAAATTGAAAACACAAAGTAATTTTAAGCTTCATGACAGCCTTAGGGTTCACGTTACTAGACTGTGATAAATTTAGAAGATTAGACATAGTCTGGCTTGTTGTTCTTGCATGCTGACTATGCTTCTTCCCTCTTTAACTCTTTCCAGGAGAGTTTAAAGTGTGTGTGTGTGTGTGTGTGTGTGTGTGTGTGTGTGTGTGTGTGTGTTCACGCTATAATGTATATGCAGAGGTCAGAATACAATCTGAATGTGGGCCTCACCTCCCACCTTGTTTTAGGCGGGGTCCAAACTGGGCCTCCCATCCTGTCACAGGAGTATGGAGACTAAGCTTTCATGGCTTGACCCTGTCGTAAGAGTGCAGAAACTAAGCATGGATGGTGTTAGCTGGCTTTAGTGTAGGTCTGAGGTTTTGGATGTAGTCCCTCACGCTTGAGTGGCAGTGCTTTGACCACTGGGCTTTTCCAAAGCCCCTATTTTGCTTGTTTTAAAAATCCATTTAGCAACTTGTTCATTCCCTACTCATTACTGCTTAAGCTGTACTTAAAGTTCCCTTTTCCCACATGGAACATAGAGGGGAGATCTGAGCATTTTGAAGAGCTCACAGCTTCCTTGAGTCAGCCACTTGCTCCCTTCAATGAAGCTGGTTCAATACTATCACTACAACAATGATTCTACTGTTCAAAAACTAAAATAAAATCTTCAGCCTTCGAAGTTTTGACATCTTCCACCGCTCTTCTGATTCTGTGCCTTTCCTATCGTGTAATTCAGGCATTTGAGTGACTTTGTAGTAGAAAGTTGGTAGCTCAATACTTCATCTGTGCAAAAGAGATCTGAGTGATGGGGAGATTGGCCTACACTTAAATGTCACATTATTTACCTTTTTTATTTGAAGGCTTTCCATACCAAGCTTAGGTCATTCATGGGTGAATGTTCACCTATGACCTCAGTGTACCCTACCTGTTAGCACAGTGGCACGGGGTGGTCTATCTTTTTAACAAACAGGTATAGTTAATGGCACTGGGACTGGTGACTTCGTTTTTAACTCAGATCAAATAGGGTTTGACCTAAAAAGGATTTGATTCAAGGGTACAATTAGCATGAAATCACACAGCCATATATTCTGTACTTGCATCTGACTGGAAATATACTAACTAGCTTGTTTTTCTCTTGAGATGAAAACCTAAGTTTTGATTAACCAAAGCACCTGTGGGGGAAGTCACAGGTAAAGGTGAAATCTCTACAGTGAGTCTAAAGATCACACACACACACACACACACACACACACACACACACACACACACACAAGACAGAGAGAGAGAGAGAGATCCTTTGGGACCCTTTGGTATGTTTCAGAAACTTTGATCAATATCTTTAACTTAGAGAAGGCCAAAACAGACACACTTCATGTCTAGATGCATTTGGATATCATATTATAAAAATTTTTTAATCTCTAACTTAAAAAAAAAAAACAGAGAAGTTTAGGTATAGCCTGTACAAAAATGCTTGCCATAGTTCATGGTGCCAGCAGTTACTCAGTAACAGTCACACTAAACAAAGATACCTATTACTTATTTTCCTAGTTTGCCCAAATGATTTTTAGACCGTGGTGGTGAGTGGGGAAGCGAATCATAGGTAGACAAATATAAATTAATTTTTCTTCTTACAATGTGGTACAGACCAGTTTGATGCTGGAAACTTGAGATCCCAGATTTGTCCTGTGATATGGGAACTTGAAGTAATTTCCTTTGTTATATGTCCAAATTTCTTGTCTTAACTGCCACTCTCCCAATGGATAGATGCCTCCAGTTGTGTCTGTCAGCATGATTGCTGAGAACACCTAAAATCCGGTAATTACACAGGACTGTTTTCCCTTTATTTCCCCACCATTTTTCATTTCAACACATTTCCTGAGTTTAAATTGTTGTGAAAACCCTAGACACTGTAACAAAAAAAAAAATGCTATTTTTAAAAACAAGCTTTTCTTATATTTTCTTAGCATAAAGGTAATATATATTCATCATAGAAAGGTCAAATAAGCAAAAGGAAAGCAAGGAAAACCATTGAAATATAGCTCCCTGAGAGAGCCACAGTTACACTTCACACGTACCTCCTGGTTCTTTCCCTGCATAGAAGAAAAACACTTAAATTATGTTGTACATCCCGTGATTGGTGTATTACAGCATCCCATATTGTAATTGGTTTTTCAGTCAACACCATGTTATAAATATCTCCCATGTCATTATTCTTTTACAGTATTCTTTGCATCAGCTAAACTATGCTTACTGAACCAGTCCCAATTGCTTATGTTCTTAAGGGTTTCTTTTTTAATTTTATCTTTTCTTTTTCCATTCTATAAATAATTCACCGAAAGAACATCTGAGCTGCTATTATCAAGGGCATTTTTATGCTAAAAAAAAAAAAAAAAAAAAAAAAAGCTAAATTATTTAAAGTGTAGAAAAATGCTTTGGTGCTGAAATAAGGTACCTGACAAGACAAAACGATTGTGTGTGAGGCTGTTTGTGTGCTTCGGCAGCCTCCTTTGTAAGGGTCCCAGAGGTCACAGACACGTGACAGATTCACTAAAAGAGTTGAAGCCTGTGTAAGTCAGATTTCTGTTACTATAACAAGTACTTGGGGAAAAAAGCAGCTTTTGAGGACAAGAGAATTATATTGGTTCATGGTTTTAGAGGATCTAGTTCATGATCAAGTGAACCTCACAGACTCAGTGGTGCTTGGTGGCAAGGCAGGGAGAATATGGAGAGTAAAACTGCTTACCTTTGGTCAGGAAGCAAGAGAGAGCAAGAGAAAGGGATCATATCCCAGGATTCCATTCAGAAGTATGCCCTGGTGACCCTTGACCTGCCTTTTAAAGGCTCATCTTCCTCCCAATAGAACTACTCTGGATATGAAGATCGTAAATAATATGGAGGATTTTAATTCAGAACATGGCAAGAGATCACATCCAAAGGCCTTTTAGGTGATCCGGCTGCCAAAAGATCATATCCAAATATTTTCTAGGCCTATGTGATCTGGCTGGAATACAAACACTACTTTAATCCAGGAGACAGAGGCAAGAAGATCTGAGTTCAAAGCCAGCCTGGTGTAGAACAAGTAAAGAAAAGCTTAGACACAGTGTGGTGGTACTCGCCTTTAATCCCAAACAATGAAGGTAAAGTTAGTTTGTAGAAAGAAGCACCCATGTTTGAAAGTGGTGTTTAATTGAGTGGCAGAAGTAGAGACAAACCAGAGAAAGATTTGACAGAATAAGATATACTTAACTCTCATGAGAAGAGAGGAAAGGAGGGCTACTTAAGGGGCAATGAGAGAGAGGGAGGAGGCAGTTTTACTGGGACTGTAATAGAGAGACAGGTTGAGAGAGAGAACACAGATGAAGACCAAATGAGCCAAAGAATAAGAAGGAGCCAGGAGATTAGAGCAGATTGTGTGAGTTAGTTAGAGTCCAAGCAGAGTAATTCAGGGGCCAAGAGAAAAGCCAGATTGAATAAGTCAGCTGGGAGAAGGGTTTGAGCCAGAACAGCTGAGTTGAACCAGCCAGCCCAGAGCTCAGAAAGAACAGGAGTGAGCTTATTGAGTCTCCGAGGCCAAAAACATTCAAGGCCTGGGTTAGATTGTATGAAGGCTAGAAGCCTCCAGGAGTAAGCCTAGGTTAATAGACAGAAGCAGTAAGCCTCTGAGACCACAACGGAGATAGGTGAATAAAAGCTCCTTTTACACTTTAAACACAAGTCTCTTGCAGGGGACACTGAAGATCCCCATATGGGGAAAATCAACAGTCCCCAGATGGCCTATGGCTTAATACAATACATTGAAATAAACTACAGAACCACCTAAAAAGGGAGCCATTCCGTTACCGATTTGTTCCTGTGACAATATCAAAGCAATTCAGTATAAATTTCCATTTACAGATGATTCCATTTTGTTTCTTTTTTTTTTTCTTTCCTCCACCCTCTAAGTGCTGTCTTTTTCATCACATAAATTGTTGCTCTGTAGATTAAAGTTGCCTCAACAATGAACCCTTCTTGCCAGGCATGCCATCTCCAACCACACTGAAGAAGTCTGAGAAGTCCGGCTTCAGCAGCCCCTCCCCTTCGCAGACCTCCTCCCTGGGAACAGCCTTCACACAGCATCACCGACCTGTCATTACAGGACCCAGAGGTGAGTTGCTCCACGGCCATCCACAGGCTCTACCTCATCGTGTAGAGATCCTAGTGTCAAAGTGGGGAGACAGTGAGGACTCCCCTGCAACCATTCTGAGGCAGTAAGTGATCCAGTTCTTGTACTTGAGGGTAGTCTTGGAATTTTAGACTAAAGACACTTGGCATTCAATCTGTTACTCTCTTAAGGTTAAAAGACAAAAGCCTCTTTTTTTTTTTTTTTTTTTTTTTTTTTTTTTTTTGAGGGGGCAGTGGGATTTTGCAAAAAGATGGAAAATAACTTGAGCCAACATCAAATGTGCCCTCAGGTTATGCGTGTGCATGCGTACATGTATGTGTTTCCGTGAGTGTTTCTTCCATGTGGTCAGTTACCTACTTCTCAAGTAATAAATGTTTTTTTTTTCACCTCCCACCCTTACTGATTCTCTTCCCATGAAGCCTGACTTCCATATGTGGCAGTTTGTGCTGAGGTTATTTGCATCAGGGCGCTGACGAGTCATCTTCATTCCCTCCTTTTGAAGTGGTAGATGTTTTGTCTGGTTTTTGTTGCAGTGTTTTCCTTATTTTGGTCTCATGTGCTCTTAAGTTTATTATTAAAATGTGCCCACAAGGAATATGATTTGTATTTTACATTGAAGACAAGCCTTAAACCTCAAGAGAATGTCAGCAAATCACTTGACTTGATTCTGCTGCAAGAGGAAAATGTTTATTAGTTTATTCATACTCCCACAGTAGGAGTAGGAACAACTGTGACCACATTTGCACCTCTCCATCAGATTGTCCTTTCTGTCCACAATCTACCAGCTGGTATCATAAACCACCCGGGAAACTCATGGGTCTCTTGTCTACTTTGACATATTGACATATACCTGGGAAAACTGATATTCCTTGCATTAACTCAGGGTTAGGCTCACAGATCTGAATCCATTTATTAATACTGTGATAGCTCCAAAGAAATATGGTAGTTGAAATGGATGCACAGTGCACATGTGAAAAATCTCACTGAAAACAATAAGCACTCTGCCGTGGGAGCAATTTCTATCTCAGTTGCTTTGTCCTTAGAGATACAGCATTCCTTGATACAATGTTCTCATAAGGATCCCTGAGTATTCTTCATGTGTACCTGTGGTATAATCACAGATACTTACCATACATACATACATACATACATACATACATACATGTACATGCATATATATGGTATACATATTACGTATTATATGTAGAAACTTGAGAATTCACTTCTGGATAAGCCATTAACCTGGTTAGTATTATACCCTCTTATCATTCACATGTGATGATGAGATTATAACAGAAAATTAGAGGTATGAAACCATTTTAAGTCAGAATATTTATGGTCCAAGATATCTGTGGGTGGGGGTGGGTGAGTGTGTTTACATATCACTTCATGGTCAGTTTAACAAACGCTGAATGAATGTTGAGAGCAAATTTTTCCACATGAGTCAGAGTAGGGGATTGTAGGAGTTCATTCATTTGTTCATTAAAGATTTGCAGAGTACATGTTACCTGTGAAAGGTCAAGGTCTGGTTGGTAGGAATAGATTCATTCCCAAGAGAGTGAATTGTTAGAAGAAGTTGGGGCCTGTTTCCTCACTGCTCTCTCCCACCTTTGCTCATGCATGTGCCGGTTCTGCACATGGCCATTTCACCCTCTGCTCCTCTGCCGTGCTATGACAGAGCCAGGGCCCTACATGTCGGTCACCAGTCACCAGAATCTAGGTGCATATAAATATCTCTATAAGCAACCTGCCTTAGAAAGATTGCTGAAGACACTCCTTCTACCATGTGGGTCTCAGGAACTGAATTAGGGTCTTCAGGCTCGGCTGCAAGCATGTCTCCCCATTGAAACATGTCACCAGCCATCTGCTACCTTAGGTCACGTGGTCAGAACTGGACTGTATGATTGGCTCTAGCCACGAGAGAGGGTGCAAAATGTAGTTGTAGATTTTTAGCTGAATATAATCATCAATAGGCATAAATGGGGTAGTAAAAACTAATAGATGAAGGTGGAATATATTAATTAGGAGTCCCTTATGAACTTGGTTAGGACTTAGAAATATCGAGATGAGCTGGCCAGAGCCAAGACCAGAATTCATCGCATTTAGTTTCCAGTTCAGTAGTTTCTATCCTTTACCCTGCCACTGGAAAAATAAATAAGCCATCTTTATTTAAACCTTTTGTTTGTTTTCACACTTATTAGCCCAAGACTTGATGTAGCCATTTCACCATTTTGATAGTCATGACATAGCCTGTGTTACCACAAAGTTGTTATATAGCTATCCTAAACAACTCATATATCTTCTTTATTAGTCTTTGGTCCCTTGCCTCTACCAAAGACACAGTTTCTGCAAGGCACAAGCCACTTCAAACACTTTTTAGAGTCATTTTGGCTTTTTTCAGTGTTAGAATTAACTTGAAAACCCCTGTCGCCATCTGGTGACCCATTAATTTTTCCCACCAATGTTTACCAAGTGCTCACAACAAACAAGGTACTCTTACAGCTACTGAACAGAGGGTGCAAAGGACGCCCTAATCTGATCCCCAGAGTCCTTAGGGCTCGGCAGCTGAGGGAAGAGAAGAGCCAGCAGTTGTCTGGTGGGCTGATCAACCCTAATCTGAAAATCTGAAATTCAGAATGTGCCAAATGTTGAGCACCAATGTGGTGCCCAGGCCATGTCTCATCTGCGCTCACAAACCCAAACTTGGGAGTGTTTTTGATTTCAGACTTTCAGATTAGGGTTGATTAATTGGTAAGTGATATATAGTTATATTCCCAAATCTAAAATAAAATCCAAGCTCAGAAAAAAGTCACAGAATCCCAACATTTCAGAAAACGGACTTGACCTACACTGTGCTAGGAGAGGCACCAGATGCCAGGGAAGACAAAGAAGAGCATCCTCATGGGAAAATACCATGGCATTTGGCATTGTCAGAGTACAAACAAGCATGATGCTTAACCCCATCTCAAACCTTTTGCCATCTGTTTATTAGTATGCAAAATAGAGAGCAACCGAAAACAAATAATTCTGTTAGACAAGAAGGTACTATGAAATTAAAATGAAGCAATTGCAGGTGTGGCTAAATCAGTGCGTGTGTGTGTGTGTGTGTGTGTGTGTGTGTGTGTGTGTGTGTGTGTGTAGTGTAGTTTAGTAGCCAAAATGTCCTAATTCCGAAAATGTTCATAACACACACAAAACAATAGTCATATAAACCAAAGATTTGCTGTGCAGCTTTCAGAGTCATGCTGGTCTCTGTTTGGAGAGGTTGTCAAAACTTTATGTGCTCTAAAAGCCTTCCTAAGCCATGACCCTCCTGGTCTTCATAATGAAAAATCTGAGAAGCTGAAGTCAGCCCTATCTCCCAGTTTAGCCAAGAAAAAGAAATCTACTGCAGAGACTACCCACATGAAGGTTATCTTCCCAGAAACCAAGGTCACCGAGCAGCAGGCACCTTGTCTTTCCCATTCATCCCTGAATCCCTCAGCCTCATGACTTGCACACGAGTATTCAATAAATGTTCCTCAAATAAATTAATGAATGCATCCATGTGATTGAAACAGAAAGTATGGGGAATGGTGGGAAGTTATTCCTGCCCCCTTTTGTAATAACAATAATAAGTTATTAATAACATGTTCAAGAACATGTATTTTGCAACATCTATCTACACTCAGCCTAGAATGTGCAGGCATTCAATACCTATTTGGCTTCGATTGAGGGTTTCTACCTCTCTATGCATTAGGAAAACTAAGCTCAGAAACTTGGGTCCCTTCAAAAGGACACAATATTTTGCCTGTAGTGCTGGGTTTGCATCCAAAGACCAGCTCGAAGGGGCACATATGCTGGTGTTGCGTCACTGTAACCATGAGCTTGACCGTTGGCACAGGCCCCAGGGGGTAGTTTCGTCCAGCTTCAGTCCTCTCGTATCTGCAAACTTGTTGGCTGTTTAGGAAAGCTTCATGAACTTAGCTGTGGAACACGCTGATGCTCAGCTGAATCTAATTTGTTTCTCCTGGGTTAGTGCAATTGAATTATCTCAAGAAAATGGGAAGTAATTAAGTACCTGTTGCAAGCAGGGCGCTGACATATCCTGCCAATAGACAGGCACGGGGTGTTAATTTCTTTTTGGAGTTTGTCATCTGGGAAAATAGGACATCGCTCTTCTCCGGGAGGCATTGCATCAGTTGAGTTTTCAAACCCAGGCATTACAGACCTAACAAACTCCTGGAGCATGGGCAAGAGAGGAAAGATTTGAGAAGACAAACTGAGCATGTGCGCAGTGCAGTTTCACGGGGAAACCTCATCCAGGGGCCTGGAAGTTACTGGACAGCAGAGAGGAAATGCAGCATTTTAGCAAAGGCTCTTTAAGTCTCAGTTCAGGAAATTATTAAATTCATTAGCCAGATACTTACAACCAGCTATTACTGCCCAGCCAAAGGAAAAACCAGCGCCAGCAAATGTTTTAAAACTACAACTAAACAAAAGTCAGGAAGCGTGTAATTAAAACTGTACCTTTATTGTATTGTAAAGCGTTTCACTGTGACATGGAAAATATTTAAAGGAGAAGGCTGTTTAGCTAATTTGTCTGCAAGTGAGCTGCGGAGTGGAGAACCATCCTAAATTAACTGTAAGGCCACCCACTGAGAGAACCTCATAAAGGGCCAGGGCAGCTCAGCTTGGTTTTGTGTAACTGTTCAATAATTACCAGATAAATGCGTAGCTCAAAGCTCTATTACACTAATAATTTGTATGAAGATAGATGTGTGGGAAACCCTGCTGGGTTAATTTGTCATCCTGCAGGAAACTTTAAAGAGAGGTCCCCTGTAGTAGAATCATGTTAATATGCTGTCCAGGGAGGACAGGCCAGAGCGGGGGACCACTTGGCTCCTTAATCTCTTCAAGAGGCACAAAGCCCCTGGCAAGAGGTCTAAGGAGAGTAGGGTGGTTAGCATAGTGGATCCGCATCCACACCCATCCCGACCAAG